ACAACATTTAATTAACATACAGGCAAAATAAATACACATGCTGAGCAGTTCACGCAGTAAGTATAATAAACAACGAATATGATATCACTTATATAATATCATGCCTATCAAGTAACTAAATAGCGATGCAAGAACAAAATTAAATACGTGTATGAAGAGCACCAACCGGTTAAGCAGTCTAAAATATATCAGCAATGAAGACGAATTGAATCCAAAGAACGACCCGAACACAGCAAAACAGCAACACAGAAAGAAGCTTTTAGGTTTACCCGAAAACTTAATCTTTAAGAGTAGAGAGCAATATATATATATATTTTAGTATTTTAGTATGAGCAAAGTCAAGTGAGAGTTGTGTGTGAAGATTTCACCGTGTAACTAATGGGGGATCTGTTATAAGGAATTATGAGCCTTATTTATATACAAAAGAGAGGGCACAACATAAAAGGAAAAGAAATAATTAAGGAGACATTTAGAATTGGTTTTTTCCTTATTTTAAAGGAGAGCCAAAATTAGACTTATTTTAATTTATTTTCTACCAAAAATAAGCGAGTAAGAAAATCTAGTTAAGCTTTAATTAAGGTGAGAAATATTCACTACCATATATTTTCCTTGTTAAGAAGGAAGCCAAAATCAGATATTTTGATTTATTTTTACCAAGTATAAACAAGAAATCTGCCCACTTAATTAAGGTAGAGGAAATCGATTACTAATAATACACCATGTAAAACAAGCTAGGAAAGAGTAAATTTAGACGGTAAATCGATATACTTAAACATATAGACATAATTATTTAAGGAGGGAATTACATTCAGATTTGTTCATATATCACAATATTTTAACACAATCAGATAAATCACAAATTGATACGAAATATATGTGATAAGATCAACATTACTCAGCAAGCGAATGGCACCGAATTAGCACATTGCATCAATTTAAGGTAACTTTAAGGAATATAATCAAAATTACCATATTAAGAACAATTTCATAAGCATCACTCGATTAACTAATCATCGCATAAAAGTTGGAGCAAATTTACAGCATATTAATTAGAGAGGATAATCAATTGAAAAGCAGAGGTCAGCAATTCCGAATCAAGAACATACTAATTATAGTTCCTTCTACAGATCAGCAAATTACACAGAAACCGATAATATAGACATAAGAACAATCAAACATCAGCGAATTATAGCAAAACATGCTTAAGGTCATAAAAATAACCACTTAGCCTTCTATGAAGAATTTCAAAACATCCATTAATCTCATGCATAGAAAATACCTCTCAATTAAACATATCGAGGACCAATAATTGAGAATGTTAAGGGATGAATAATAATTAATTGAGAAGAAACAGACCTGGACGGATCTGTCCAGATCCGTCATTTATCCAACACTAAATTTGAATTTTATACCACTGCTGACCAGAGCTTGCTCTCCATTACAGCTGCTGCTGGTTTGAACCTCGCCAGAGAAATGGAGGGCATGCTGTTGTTTCCGTCGGCTACTGCTGCTTGCTTTTCAGGCTGCTGGTCGGAGCTGGTGGCCGGCGCTGCTCGTCGGGGCTCACTGGTAGCTGGTTGGAACTGTTGGTTGGTGGTCCTCGCCGGAAAGAGGACAGAGATGAGGTGCCGATTTGGCCTCCTGCAGTTGCTGGTCGGACAACAGCCTTCTCTGCTTGCTTCGTCCGAAAGCAGGGTGAGGAGGGGGAGAAAGGGAGGAAGAGAGGAAGAGGAGAAAGGAGAGGTCCGCCTCCGATGGCTTTCGCCGGAAAAAATGGCGAGGAGGAGGGAGGTGCGGCTGCTAGAGAGGGAGAGAGGAGAGAAAAATTATGTTTAGGGCTTAGGTCTTTTAGTTGAAAAGGAAAGGAGGGCTTAATGAATTCGGACCATTGGATCAATTTAGATGAGCGGCTAGGATTTAATTTAAAAGATGGACGGTTGAGATTAAAAGATGAGAGTTTTAAAATCAGGTTGAATTGGATTTGGAATGGCCAAATTTGAAATAAATTTGGCTAGAATTGCAATGAGGGGATGGTTATTATTGAAATAAATTTGGAATTGATTAGGCTAGAATTGAAATGAATTAGAATAAAATAGGCTATAAGATAAATGATTTTGAGGAAGTTTAAGAAATGCTATTCAATTAAATACTACACATATCATAATATTTTTATATAATTAAAATCACTTAAATTTTAAAACATTTAAATAAAATAAATACTTTTAGCTTTACAAATAATTTTAAAAATATCTTAATAATATTTATGATAATTTTATAAAGCATACATACTAAAATGTACGATTTTAGACAAAATCAACTAAAATTTTAGAATAAAAAAAATATATTTTAAAAAGTGTATTTAATCGGATAGCATTTCCAAAATTGTTAAAGGTCGGTCAAAATTGGGTGTCAACAGCTGCCCCTTGGTTGCTTGGGAATGAAGGATGAATTGTCGGGCAACCAACGTTGACTTAGTAGCCGATTTTGTCCAACCGACGAGAGATGTCAGTGGGATCAATTGAAATGACATAGAGTTTTTAAAAAAAATGGGTACGACCGAGACTTTGGTATTAAGCCGCCTACATATCTCTGATTATACGAGAATCAGGTCGTGTGTAGTTCTAGACTTAGGAGCAAACGAAACTCCTAAGAATTGAAAAAATGGTACAATATATGAACGGGAACGATATTGGCTTGAAGGGATATGATTAGAGTAGCGAGAAAGGCATGATAGAGAGATTTCCTGATTTAAGAGTGCAGAGTCCGATGAGAAGCAATAAAATGAGTAGCCAAGGGTTAATTGAAAAGGGTAATATAAGTAATAAGGAATTCGATAAGGTCTTTGTTGTGATAGATGTAAGCACGATAATTGTAGTCGAGAGGGAGATTGATCTTGCCTACAAAATATTAGTCTCTGCAAATCTGTAGCTTATAATATTACTAAATAAAGTGATTAGAGCAGTTATATCGAATAAATGATAAAGGTAAATATGATGCAATTTCCCATATCGACAATGATGTTTGCCATAAGACTATGAACATGATGTCTTAGGCTATGATGTCTAGGGCCATGATACGCAAAAATTATATCCTCAGGTCATGAAATGTTGTCTGCGGGCCATGAAAAATGATGCTTTTAGACTATGACACCTTTGGGTCATGATAAGTAGAAAGTAAATCCTTAGACCATGATATGATGTCCGCAGGCCATGAAAATGATGCCTTTAGACCATGACGTCTTTGGATCATGATAAGCAGAAAGTAAATCCTTAGGCCATGATATGATGTCCGCAGGCCATGAAAATGATGCCTTTAGACCATGACGCCTTAGGAATAAAATAATGAATAAAGAAAGCATATCTGTAATTCGGGCATCTGTTGATACTTGTAGCTTTTTTTTTGTTCGGACATATGCAATTCTCGAGCACAATGCAATCTCGGGCACATGCAATATCGGGCATAATTCAATCTCGGGCACAATGCAATCTCGGGCACAATGCAATCTCGGGCATAATGCAATCTCGGGCTCAAATGCAATCTCGGGCTCAATGCAATCTCGGGCACAATGCAATCTCGGGCACATGCATATGATGCAATTCTCGGGCACATGCAGATCTCGGGCACAATGTAATCTCGGGCTCAATGCAATCTCGGGCTCAATGCAATCTCGGGCACAATGCAATCTCGGGCACATGCATATGATGCAATTCTCGGGCACATGCAGATCTCGGGCACAATGTAATCTCGGGCTTAATGCAATCTCGGGCACAATGCAATCTCGGGCCCATGCATATGATGCAATTCTCGGGCACATGCAGATGATGCAATTCTCGGGCACAATGCAATCTCGGGCACATGCATATGATGCAATTCTCGGGCACATGCAGATGATGCAATTCTCGGGCACATGCAGATCTCGGGCACAATGCAATCTTGGGCTCAATGCAATCTCGGGCACAATGCAATCTCGGGCACATGCATATGATGCAATTCTCGGGCACATGCAGATCTCGAGCACAATGCAATCCTCGGGCACATGCAATGATGTAATTCTCGGGCCCATGCAATAGTTGATTGGAGGCATAGACCTTCGTCTTATTGAAAGGATTGAGTGTCATTTGTTGACGAATTTGGAATATTGTAGTTTTGACCCTTCGTCCTATTGTAAGGAGTGGGTGCAGTTGATTTGTCGGGCTTGATATAAAGTAGCTTTTTTTCATTTGATTGGAAAGATGTACCATAATTAGCGATCGTCGGGCTCAAAATAACTTGATCTTTCATTCAGGATATGGAGATTTGTCGAGCTTAATAGCGGTCAGGTGATGCTGAAGTTATCTTTTGCGTCTGTACCTGTTTTCCTGTATTCAAAGAAAGATTGTGAGTTTAAAAATGGGGGCGGTTGATCTGCTCCGATCGGTGTGCTCCCTTTGACTTGCCATCCAGACCTTTCCGGGCATTTGCTTTGAAGAGAAATGTAAAATAGAGGGAGAGAGAGTTTTCGAAAAAGCTTTTGAAAATAATAAATTGTAAAAAGTAATGTTGAATCTTTGACCATGGCATAGTTTGAGACTTTGCAACATCTGACATCAGTATCAAATCCGTTATCTGAAGATTGTAGTTTGATCGTAGTGAATTTTTGAGACCCTCAAAAATTCTGCCCCAGTCTTGATTTGTGCAGGAAATGCTTTGTTCAAAGGAATTTTTGAGACCCTCTCAAAAATTCTGCCCCAGTTACTGATTTGTGAGAAAAAATGCTTTTGATGGAATTTTTGAGTTCCTTTCAAAAATTCTGCCCCAGTATCGTGATTTGCAAGAATATGTCCTTTTGATGGAATTTTTGAGACCCTCTCAAAAATTCTGCCCCAGTTAACAGTCAAAAGGGGAAAATGAAATTTTTATTATGATAAGACCGAACTCCAAAGGAGCGCCTACGTATCCCCTCTTAAACGGGAATCAGGTCTGACGTAGTTCCAAATACAGAGTAAAAGAGCATGAACAATTTAGATGTAATATCTTTTCACAGCATCTGAGTTGATGGGTTTGGGCCAAACTTCTCCATCCATTTCTGCAAGTATGAGGGCTCCGCCTGTTAATACCCGAGAGACTATGTATGGACCCTGCCAGTTTGGCGAGAATTTACCCTTTGCTTCATCTTGGTTTGGAAAAATCCGCTTCAGAACCAGTTGCCCAGGTGAAAAATGTCTGGGTCTAACCTTTTTGTTGAAAGCTCTGGCCATTCTATTTTGATAAAGTTGACCATGACAAACGGCGTTAATCCTCCTTCCATCTATCAATGCAAGATTTTCCGCCCGAATTTGTATCCATTTAGCATCATCCAACTCCGCTTCTTGAATAATCCTTAGAGATGGTATTTCCACTTCGGCAGGTATCACAGCTTCATTACCATATACCAGAAAATAAGGCGTGGACCCAGTAGAAGTTCTGATGGTTGTACGATATCCCAACAATGCAAAGGGTAACTTTTCATGCCAATGTTTGTGATTATCAATCATCTTGCGCAATATCCTCTTGATGTTCTTGTTTGCAGCCTCAACAGCTCCATTCATCTGTGGTCTATATGCTGTAGAATTTCGGTGTTTGATCTTGAACTTCTCACACAATGATCTCATCAAATCGCTATTTAAGTTGGTTCCATTGTCAGTGATGATTGACTCAGGAATCCCGAACCTACATATAATATTATTTTTGACAAAGTCATCCACAACCTTCTTTGTCACTGATTTGTGAGAGGTGGCTTCGACCCATTTGGTGAAGTAGTCAATTGCAACCAGAATGAATCTATGTCCATTGGATGCCGCTGGCTCGATTGGCCCAATAACGTCCATGCCCCAAGCTGCAAAGGGCCACGGTGAACTAGTAACATGGAGTTCGTTGGGAGGAACTCTGATCATATCTGCATGAGTCTGACATTGGTGACATTTTTGAACGTAGCGGATACAGTCTGTCTCCATAGTTAGCCAGAAATATCCCGATCTCAAGATCTTCTTTGCCAGTGTAAAACCATTCATGTGAGGACCACATGTTCCTGCATGTATCTCTTCAATCAACCTGTTGGCTTCTCCAGCTTCGACACACCTTAGCAACCCCAAATCGGGAGTCCTCCTATAAAGGATTTCTCCACTTAGAAAGAATTGATTCGCTAACCTCCGAATTGTACGCTTTTGTACACTTGTTGCATCCTCTGTATACTCTCCACTCTTCAAATATCCTCGAATGTCGTTGTACCAAGGCTTTCCATCAGGTTCTTCCTCGACATGAAAACAGTATGCCGGTTGCTCGTAGATGTGGATGTAAATAAGATCAATGTAATTATGATCAGGATGTTGAATCATGGAAGATAAGGTGGCTAAGGCATCTGCGAATTCATTCTGGATCCTTGGCACATGTTTGAATTCTGCCTTGATGAACCTTTTGCATAACCTATGCACGCACTCCAAGTATGGTAATAATTTCCGATTTTTAGTAGCCCATTCGCCTCGGACCTGATGGATCAATAAGTCTGAATCTCCTATTATTAACATTTCCTGGACATCCAAGTCAATAGCGCGTCGGAGCCCCAATATGCACGCTTCATATTCAGCCATATTGTTTGAGCATAGGAACCTGAGTTTGGCTGATACCGGATAATGTTGCCCAGTTGGTGAGATCAAAACAGCTCCGATGCCGGATCCGCTCAGGTTCTGAGCTCCATCAAAGAACATCCTCCAACCATCATATTCTTCAGAAATGTCTTCCCCGACAAAAGCCACTTCTTCGTCTGGGAAGTAAGTCTTCAAAGGTCTATAATCATCATCAACAGGGTTTTCCGCCATATGATCTGCTAATGCTTGTGCCTTCACTGCCTTCTGTGTAACATACACTATGTCAAACTCGCTCAGTAATATCTGCCATTTAGCCAGTTTACCAGTAGGCATGGGCTTTTGAAAGATATACTTCAGAGGGTCCATCCTTGAGATCAGATAAGTAGTATGCGAGGAGAGATAGTGTCGCAGCTTCTGGGCAACCCAAGTTAAAGCACAACAAGTACGCTCCAATAGAGAATATCGAGCCTCATATAATGTAAACTTCTTACTCATGTAATATATCGCCTGCTCCTTCTTTCCAGTCTCATCATGTTGCCCCAGAATACAGCTGAAAGCATTATCCAACACTGATATGTACAACAGCAGTGGTCTACCAGATTCCGGTGGAACCAACACAGGTGGATTGGACAAGTAATCTTTGATTTTGTCAAACGCTTGTTGACATTCGTCTGTCCATTTCAACGCAGCATCCTTCTTTAGCAGCTTGAAGATAGGCTCACAAATAACAGTAGATTGAGCTATGAAACGACTGATGTAATTTAGTCGACCCAGGAAACTCATTACCTCTTTCTTACTCTTCGGTGGAGGTAGATCACGAATGGCTTTGATTTTCGATGGATCCAGTTCTATACCTCGGCGGCTGACAATGAAACCCAAGAGCTTTCCAGCAGGAACCCCAAAGACACATTTTGCAGGATTCAACTTCAAGTTATACTTGCGTAACCTAGCAAAGAACTTTCGCAGATCATCTAGATGATTTGATCCCCTCTTTGATTTGATGATGACATCATCCACATAAACTTCAATTTCCTTGTGGATCATGTCGTGAAACAAAGTGGTCATTGCCCTCATGTATGTAGCGCCAGCATTCTTTAACCCGAAAGGCATTACCTTGTAATTGTAGACACCCCACGGTGTGATGAAAGCAGTCTTCTCAGCGTCGTCCTTGTGCATCTCAATTTGATGATAGCCAGCAAAGCAATCCACGAATGATTGTGTTTCATGCTTAGCACAATTATCGATCAAGATGTGTATGTTGGGCAATGGAAAATTATCTTTGGGGCTAGCTTTGTTGAGATCTCGATAATCCACACAGACTCTGACCTTTCCATCTTTCTTCGGCACTGGAACGACATTTGCAAGCCAGGTCGGGTACTCTGTCACTTGAAGGATTCCAGTATCTAATTGCTTCGATATTTCTTCCTTGATTTTCAGACTCAACTCAGGCTTGTATTTTCTCAACTTCTGCTTCACAGAGGACATGCTGGATCAGTAGGCAAACGATGAGCTACGATTGAAGTGCTTAACCCTGTCATGTCTGCATAGGACCAGACGAAGATATCCTTATTCTCCATGAGACACTCTGTATACTCTTTCTTGTCCTCTTTCGTCATATGGATGCTTACTCGGGTCTCTTGTACCACTTCTGAATTTCCCAGATTTACCACCTCTGTTTCCACTAGATTCGGATTGGGTTTTTCCTCGAATTCCTCAACCTTTCTGATTAACTCTTCAGGGACCTCACTTCTTCGACTTCCTCTAAGTCATTAATGTTAAGCTGTGCAGTCTCATTATATGCCATAGTCTCAGATTCAACATTTTTATAATAGATTTTGCTGGAAAAGAACAACGCACAAATGAATATAAGATATTAAATAGATGGGAAAACAACTTTATTGATTGAAACTCAAGGGCTTCATAAAACTAGTATTTGAAAACAATAACATAGAACTGAAATTTAAAATTGTTTTATTGAAAATTTTAAAATTTGATAGAAAAATTTCTTCCACAGCTACCCAGATGCCTGACGAGGTCTGGATGGAGTTGAGGTCCAAATGCTGATGCTGATCCCTGCTTCAATGCTTCCTCTAGGGTCCCCCTTCTCCTCCTCGTTGATCACTACATTGCAACCTTTTCCTTCCTCCTTAGTCAGAGATAAACCCTTCATGTCTTCCAAAAGATCACAATGATACATCCCATGAAACCTGCTGATCGGAATGATTGGTGCAGCAGTGGTATCGGTTTCTTCAATGGATAGTAGTACCCATCTCTAGGTGGTTGCCAATCAAGCCACTCCTCAGTAGTATATTTATATCCCAGGCCAAAAGTGGTTGAATGACGAACAGGTTGTATAGGTTCAACTATTCCTTGCAAATTAGCTCCCAAACCTTTCCCGAGCTCGAAACCAAACCAGACATCATATCTATGATCTTCTGACTGAACCATGGTTGCACTTCAATGTTGCCAACAAGCTCAACTGTATGGTACATCTCACCGTCTAGATGACCCCCTCCTTCTATCGCATATACAGGATGTCCCTTTTCCCCATGAACTACAACCTCTTCATGGTCCCATTCAAACTTCAAGCATTGATGAAAGTAGAGGGAACTGCTCCAGCCATATGAATCCAAGGACGACCCAATAAGAGGTTATATGAAGATGGAATATCCAAGACCTGGAAAGCTATTGGGAAAGTAGCAGGACCAATGAGCATGTCCAAGGTTATTTCTCCAATAGTACCCCTTGAGAACCATCAAAAGCTCTCACATTCATCTTCCAAGTTTGGATTTTGCACTATCCACGCCTAGCCTTGTCAACGTGCTCAGAGGGCAGATATTCAAACCCGAACCTGAATCAACCAAGGCTTTGGTGATTATCTTGTCTGATATTGAACTGAAATGTACAAAGCCTTATTATGGGTTGTTCCTTCAATTGGCAACTCATCTTCATGGAAAGATATTCGATATGCCTCAAAAACCTGCCCGACCATTTGGGCTACCTCTCCTTGAGTGATGCTAGATGGGACATAGGCTTCACCCAGGACCTTCAATAGAGCATTCCGATGAGTTTCGAAGATTGCAGCAATGATAGATGGATATTTGAGACTGGGTTTTACTCAATTGCTCAACAATAGAGTACTCTTTTGCTTGTGTCTTCTTCCAAATTCCTTGATTTTCAAGTTCTACAATTGGTGCCTTGGATTTGCTGGAGCTTCCCTGCACCAAATTTCAGAAGTGTAAATTCTTCCCGATCTAGTAATCCTGCTGCGGTGTCTGCTTCTTCCACTTTTGCTTTTCCTTTTCTGTAGTCCCATGGAACAGCATGGGTATCATACTGGACAGGGGAAGGCGCCCTATAAACAGTGAATGGAGGCTTGGGCATGGCGATCTCAACCTCAAACGGAGCACGCCTTTGCACTACCATTGGAGTCTGAGCGGTAGCAATCATTGCTTCTTCTGGCTCAAGGACCCAAATGGATTTCTCCCAATCCGAGGTATCATCGGCTTCTATCATGTTGACCTGATGGTTAGGCAAGGGTTATTTGCAACATTTGGTGCTGGATCTTTGAGTTGGATGGCCTTAGTATCAATCAACATTTGAATCTTATCTTTCAGGCTCTGCAAATTTCAGTAGTATGCCTTTCATCCCAGAATGGTAGGCACAAACCTTGTTAGGGTCATACCATTTTGTGCGGACATCCACAGGCAATGCAGGAACTGGGGTGACATAGCCAGCCTCTTTTAGTCTCTCATAAAGCTGGGCAATAGGTTCGGCCAGAGGGGTATAGTTCTTCGCAGGCCTTCTTTCATATGGTGGTTTGTTTCGGTAGTTTGATGTTTGAGTAGGTGGTGGGGTTTGGAAGTATGATGGCTGGGCATTATAGACAGGATATGAAGCTTGTTGGTATTGAGGAGGAGCATTTTGGTAATATATTGGCATGGGGTTGGGAGATATAGGTGGTGGAGCTGAAGGGTATGGAGTTTGGGGATATGGAGATGGAGGTGGGGTTGTTGATTGGTACTTATAAGGGGTTCTGGTCCCCTGAGCCATCATGACTGAGCCTGTTTTCTTTCGATTTTCTGCCATTCCTCCGGATTGCAGAGCTTTGTTGGTGGCTTGCAGGGCCTCCAGATTGATGATAGTCCCATTTTTTATGCCCTCTTCGATCCTTTCACCTAGCTTGATAATTTCAGCAAAACTCTTCTCAGCTACAAGCATCATCCTATCATAATATTGTGGTTCTTGAGCACGGATGAAGTAGTCTTTCATTGAGATTCTTCCATGGGAGGTCTGGACCTAGCCGCCTCAGACCTCCATCTTATCGCATAATCCCTGAAAGATTCACTGGGCTTTTTCTTCAGATTTTGGATGTAGAACCAATCAGGTGCATTTTCTACATTAAATCCAAACCGGTTCATGAAGTCTGTTGCCATGTCTACCCACTCATCCCATTTCCGCGGGTCTTGTTCAATATACCAGGACAGTGCCTCTCCGGTAAGACTCCTCATAAACAACTTCATGAGTATCCTCTCATCTCTCCCCACCCCTACAAGCTTGTCACAGTACATTCGTAGGTGGGCTTTGGGATCTCCAATGCCATTAAACAATTCAAATTTGGAAGCTTGTATCCCTCAGGTAGTTCTACATCGGGATGTATACACAAATCCTCGTAGCTTAGTCCTCCCAACCTCTTGCTTCCTTCCACATGTTGCATCCTGTTAGCCAAGTTATCTAATCTCTCAGTCAGGGTTTTTATCAGAATATCCTTTTGGGAGGACTCTGATTCATGGTAGTTATGAGTCACAGGAGCGGTTTCCACATATATGGGGTTGAGGTTGTTATTTCCAGGAGTATATGAAGGGTTTGCATTTGGAACTGGTTCTGGAATAGTTGGCTTAGTTTGTTGGTGGTAGTGGTAAAATGGGATTTGAGTATTTTGTGCATGAAGTGGTGGGAAGATATTTGGATGAGTGGGTTCAGGTCGGGGTACATTGGTTGGGGGATTGTTTGGCATGGTTGTTTGGTTAGAGTGAGGAGGATTGTCTATATTCTCACCAAACTGAGTTCCAAGAGAAATAGATAACTTGGCCAAATCGCGCATATGAGCTACTTCTTCTTCCAAATCTGCAATCTTGCGCTCAAGCCTAAGGACAAGGTCACTTGGAAGTTGCCCTCCCTCAGAAGTTTCTACTCTTTCGTTGCTGCTATTATTGTCAACCATTTTACCCTTGTCTGTTCTTTGAGGAGGAGGAGGAGAAGGGGGGGTCCTTTTTGATCGTGTATGTGCCAGAATGAAGAGCAGATCAACCTTAGGAATGGGAAAAACAATGAAATCAACATAAAACAATGTTAGGGGATTAGAGCAAATAATAATAATAATAGCACATTGTTTGAAATAAACGCCCTAGATGCAAGGGACCTCGTTGAGCCAGAGGTAGGCCTAAGACGCCATATAAGTGATGCATAATGATTAATTTAAGCCTTATTTGCCAAATGGAGTTTAGAGTTAGAGAAATAAAACGATCTTTATATATTGAATAACTTCAATTTATTACATCATACTAAAGCAAAACTGAAATAAACTAAAGGGCTAGGGATAACATGGGGAAATTAAAATCCTAAAAGAAACAGGGTCAGTGCTGGTCTCCAATGTTAGGCACAATTTGCTGCCTCATTTCTGGAGTGATCTCATAGTCGCGATTGAGAAGGTTGCGGGCCCATCTTCTTTCCTTTTCATCACCAAAACCTGGAATGCCTTCTTCGCTCAAATCTACATGCTCTGCGTCCTCCAAAAGCCACACGTAATACTCTGGTGTGCAGAAGGGTCTGTGCTCTCGAACTTCAATAGTTATCACTTTTTCCCACCTTCGCAGTATAGTGCCCACTTGTGGTATTTCTGGCCCAAAATCATACTCATATTGGCCCATATGGGATCGTAGAGGTATCATTTGGATTTGACCAAACTGTCGGAGGACTCGGAGTGGTGCGTATGGTTGCACGCCATTTAAACCAATGAGCTCGATAAAGTAGAGGTCATTACCTCTTATAATGACACGACGAGGCTTCAACCAATAGTATTTCCATTGAATGTTGATGGCTGAACGTTCTCTCAAATAAACAAACCAGTCCTCTGTTCCCACAGGGGAATCAAAATATTTCATCCTTAAGGTATGATTGATGACTTTATTTCCCATAGTCCCTCTAAGAATGTCTACCGAATTTGCCCTTTGATAGAAATGCTCAACACCCAGAGTTGTAATAGAAAATTACACCCCTCGAAGTACCTTTTGCCTTTGGTACATTTGGTGAGTGCCTTATAATTTCTGCCAGTATCATGGGAACTATAGTCTTTCCGCCTCGAGCCATCATACGAACCACATAACTTAGGCTAGTGTGTATTTTTCCTCATTCTCTAGGAAAAACTAATGAGCCCAACAGTGCGACAGCGAAAGCATTAAGACGGTATCTTTCCCACTTCGCAGGAGAGCAAGCAAATTCTTTATGGAAGTTTTCATGGCCTTCCTCGTCTCCAAAACGTGAATATAGAAACTCTAAAGAAATCCATCCCTCTTTCAGACAAAGCAAATTCGGATTATGATGCATGTCCATTTGCTTTAGGAAGACCTTGGAGATGGCTTGTGTGGCACAATCATTTCACGATCTCTGTAAGGGAGACCAAGAAACCCACCAATCTCTTCAATCGTCAGGGGTTAGCTCAAAATCCTTGAATTTGAACACTAGCCTCTCAGAATCCCAAAACTTCAACAGTGCCTTGATCAAGTGCCGGTCTGACTCGACGGAGATTAAAGCAGTAAGGCCACCTAGTAGTTCGTTTGCCTCCAACTCTCGATTCCTTTCAATATCCTTCCACCAGACCTTCAAAGTAGGATTCACTTTGACTACCATTTGCGTGTTTGGAAAATAGGAAATGCCATGACTCTGCAAACAGACAACAAACAAAAAATCTAAACTCCATATTGACAAACTTGGCTTAATTTAATTATTATGACCACATTGACACATAAGTATGCAATTTGTCTAAAGGGTGTTGGGGCCCTTTAGACAATAGGGTGGCTACTAATTATGTGGATTGACACCAAGGGTCAAACCACCTAGAGTTTATGCATCATGTATGACCTAATCAAGATTTCTAAGAGTTGGCTTGACACGGACTTGAAAGGGGTTCTATGCGAGAAGGCTCGTGGTTTCACGGTAGTAGAACTATCCGTTACGTCCACGCATATGCCGACTCTCTATAATTGGGTATTTGAAGAGAATTGGAGTAGTTGTGAGAGGTGCAAAGGCACAACATCACGGTAACAAAATAAAAAAAAGGAAGAGGGTCCCAATTGGGGGAAGTATGAGCGGAATGACAGTTTATCAAACAGTAACATTTAGCACTTAGGTGAAAAACAGTAACACATAGGCAATTTTATGAAAGCGGT